AAAAGATAAAGAATTTAAAAAATGAAAAGGAGCAGAGGGGATAATTATAGCTGGATCAGAAGTTTAATCCATTCTCAGCATGACAAATAGATAAGGACAACACATAGGTAGTGCAGAAGAAGTAAACACCTCAAAGCCTGTAACTGCAGTTCAGGACGTTATCAAGGGAAACTACTGCATGTATTTTAACATTAAATGTATTTTAAACAACTACACTTCATAGAAAATGAATGCAAATAAGCACTGCTGGATGCTGACTGTGATCAGAGAGACAACACCGGGTAATACCCAAGGTAGAAATAACTGAATTGCCCCTTCCTCCATTATCTTTCTCATACCTATTTCTGAGGGATATAACAATAATACCCAATAGCACTCAATTTTACCACACAGTGATAAAACAGAATTGATCCATTCCTCTTTGGTTTTACCAAAGCTGGTAAAGAAGTCTTGAACTGATGCAAATGCATCTATTTATATCAAGTAGAGCAGGTGACGTAAGCAGTGGAGTTCCTCTGTAGAGTCAGTACCTTTATGTAAAAGAACAACACATTCTCTATGCTCTTTGTTGTGGTGGGTTGTTTTTTTAACTCTTCCTGCCCTCAGATCTTAAAGAGTTTTTGTATAAATCACTACTATCAGGACTGTAAGACTTTTTCCAGGTTTATGTCAGCTTTTGCAAGTGAAAAGCGTAAGTCTTCCATCTTTTCTTAATAATCACACCTTACAGGAAAATCTGCTTCAGACAGACGATTTGCATGCTTTCCCAATTTTATGTCCAGCAGCACAATACAGGGAAAGCAAGGCTGCTCACTGACTTCAGCTTATTTCAGTCAAATGATTTCTCCCCCTGGTTATTTTTAAACATTGGAACGCCATGGCTATTCTTAGAGGTTCATAGAATGGTTTGCAGTGGAAAGGACCATATAGCTCATCTAGTTCCAACTCCCCTGCCATGAGCAGGGACACCTTCCACTGCACCAGGTTGCTCAAAGCTCCATTTCTTTTACATTATAGACATATTTGGCAATTTGGTTGTTTGGGTGTTGTTTTTTTTTTTGTGCCAGTTTTGTTGTTTTTTTTCCTAGCTCCAATATTTGGCAGTAATTTAAATCTTGAGGTACCCCTATTAGGCCAAGGACTCCATGATGAGAGTAAATCAGCATTTTACGTAAGTTTACTCATAGAATTCTTTCAGTTTTTTCAACAGCTTTGTTAGCAGGACCTTCTCTAGCAGGAGGAGGGGTTTTATTCCACTTCAGCAATGTTTTTTGTTCTGGAGCATCACTCTGTACAAGGGGATAAGGCTGCAGGTAAAAAGTACAATGCTTCTTACAAGATGCAGCTTCATATTGTCTCACATGAAAGGTATCTCAGGAAATCCTCTGTAATCCTCCTATTCAACCCAAAAAATGCAGCAAGTCTGTTCTATAGAACAGTCACAGTTTTAGGTGTGTTGTGCTGAAGGCACACATGAAGGATTTGCAGATTAAGATGAGACCTTGTCTTTACACCTCAGGAAGATACAGTGCTACACGCATACAGTGTAAAGAAAAAAAACCCCACATTATTTTGTTTTGGACAAATGTTTACAAACACCTCTTCACTGTATAGACTTTAAGAGGCAGAACGTCTCATCAGTACATACAGCTTAGTGCATATTTTTTAAATGTTGCATGAGATAACCTGTTATTATCCAGATCATGTACTCAGAATACCAAATATCCCAGAGCTGGTACGTCAGACTGAGTAACTAGATCAGTTGAAAGATTTGTCAAGCAAACTCTTCCCAGTCACCCTCAGTGCTCAAGCTCACTGACAGGAGAGGGATGAAAAAAGAAAAAACACATCTGATTTTTTTCCCCCAGTTCCACAGATGTGCACACACATTTTTGTCCTCGCACTATGTTGGAGAACACACCTGCGCTTCAGAAAGTACTATCTAGTTTTAAAGACCAGCAGCAAAAGTTAACTGCAAAGAAAATAAAAAAAGGAGTACCAAAGCTTTTTAAAAGTAGATTTCCAAAGTCAACAGCTTCTGAGAAGAACATACGCCAAGTCACTGCTATGCATCCCAGGCACCCCAGCAGAGTTTACGCACATAGCCAGACATCGAACAGGCACTACAGTTCACTGAGCAATTCAAGTCCAGACCAAAGCCCCAGCCTCCTCTAGAATAGACAACACTCGTATCTAACAAAGTCCCTCCACCTGCAGAAGGGAAGAAACTGTACAGGTTCCAGGCAGCAATACAGGCATGCTGCAACACCAAGGTCTGTGAAGACACTGAACAAGAGAACGGGGGCAATGCTTTTTCTTCCTTTAACGCAGGGCCTGCTAAGGGGGTTTGCTATTAACTGCTAATCCAGCAATCTTCAGGAAATAACTTCACAATCTTTCTGTAGAGGAAGATTAATCAAGTTTACTGCAAATATTGAAAAATTTACTGTTTTCTTTAGATATTATATTACATTTTAAACTCTCCAAAAAACAAAGCACCAAAAACCTACATACCACCCTGATGAACTTCTAAAACTACCACTGAAAATTCATTGAGCAGTAACTAGACTTATCCAAAAAGTAAACTTAACTACAATACCTGTCCAGGAAAGGCATACAATTGTCACCTTTTGAATCCAAAACTAGGGTTTACTATCAGTTTTAAATGACAATAAAAACCTAGACTTCAACATCAAGAGACTGCAAAGAAGTTCCCATTCACTAAAGCAAAAGTGATAGCAACGTCAACAAAACCCCCAAAGCCTCAAAGTATAACTCTGGTTTGGGTGTGACCTTAGGTGTTAGGCTCAGATTTCATAAGCTCATGAGGGCAGGGAGAGGTATGCACCTATGAAAGAAAAGCAAATTTATTTTGCCCACGTAGGCAGCGACAGTGACACAGCTGTTGGTTTACCTGCTGGCCCAAAGCCACAAGAGCTAAGACCTCAGGTAATGTAACACTATGTTCCTAAACCACAAATTTCCAATCCTTTCTCCCTGTAACTTAAAAGTGCGAATAACAACTGGCAGGAAGGATAATTACAAAAATAACAGTATTCCTAATTACATAGGACATAAACACCATAAACACGTGCAGAATAGGCACTATGAAGTGGCCTTTATCCTTAACCATAGAGCACTTAATCTGCAAGTTAGACTCAGGGTTTTTCACTCCTCATGTCCATACCACTTCAAATATACTGCTTCATATGACACAGCTTTGCTTACACATGATCCATGTGCTTCCCCTGCAACCCAGCACCCACGGCAACATGTATGAAGTGGCACTGCCACTGAACCTGCGACAGGGGAAGAAAAAATGCAAAACCAGGGCAGCGTTTCCCGTCGGCAATTACAAAACCGAGAGGCGACACGTGTCTCCCCGCAAAGGGCTGAGCCCTCATGCCGTTACTATTAAGCAGCCTACCCCTGGGGCTCTACACCGCGGGCTGAGTGGAGCCCACCTCCGGGCCCGCAGCCTCCCACCTGAGGAAAGGGACCCCGGCACCCACCTGCACGGCGGGGAAGGCGCTCTTCAGCAGATAGAACATCTTGCGGTTGGACAGCAGGTCACCGCTCGTCAGCTGCTCCTCGGCCCCCTCCCGCGTCTTCCCCTTGGCCTTGGCCTTGAGGTCGTTGCCATCACGGACCCGCTTCACCTCCTCCCCACCCCTGACAGCAGCCAGGACGGACACGGCCAGCAGCTCCCGCAGGTCCACGGCACCAGAGCCGTGGGGGGTCTCGGGCTCGCCGGCCGCCGACTCGCTCAGCATAAAGAAGGCGAAGCGGCCGGCCAAGAAGCCGGAGTAGAGGTGGTAGAGAACACCCAGCCCCAGCAGGCAGAACACAGCCATGCCGAGCGGCGAGAGACGGATCCCCATGGGGGCCATAGCCGCGGGGCAGGGGGGGAAGAGTGGAGCAGGCAGCGGTGCCGGGCGCTCACCACAGACCCATAACGCCGCCGGGGCGCTCCACCCTCTGCTGCTGCCGCTACACTGGGGGCAAGACCAGCCCGGCTCCACACTCCTCAACGGGCCGGCGAGCAGGCAGCACTGTCTGTATCCGGGTCAGGCGGGGCGGGGCTCGCCGCTCGCACTGAGCATGTCCCACTGCCCGCTGCGCGGGATTTGAGGTCCCGTGTCGCTCTGCGGCTGTGTCGGTGGGACGCTCCTGCCGTTTCCGATCGCGGGCACGTCTGACGGCGCACAGGCACCCGCTGTTTCTGGCGGAAAGCGTGATTTCGGGTGGCTTCATTTCCTAGGCTGCAGGTGTGCTCCAGCCTGCCGTCTGCGAGGGCTGCTCGGAATGATGGCTCGACAGGCCGGGAAGGCGCTTTCAGGCGGAAATCGCAATTCGCAGTAATTGCTGCTTAATTTCTGAGATTTGCGGTTCTGAGTATCTCTTGTTTTTTTCATACTCGTTAGGTAACTTTGGAGCCCTTGGCTCCCTTGTGCTTCCGGAAGGTGAATTCCTTTCATTCAAGAAACTGAAGCATATCCTAACCATTTCCTTAACCAAGTGATGTGCTAAAGGCCCACGTGTTAATTTATACTTTCTCTTTGGTTCTCAGCTGGTGTGGGAGAGTGTGAAACTGCATGTCTGTGACCAGGATGGACGTCTGAGGTGAAAATCAGCAGTCTGATTTTTTTCCTCTTCTCTAATTCCCTCTGGGAGTTTTGAGTAAGTTATATCAGAAACAAACAGAAAGCATGTTTTGGATTGATCGTGTGTTCTTTTACTCAAGTAATACTCTTGTCTCTTGATATACAGGTTATAGAAACAGACCTTGTTAGTGGCTCTGGGGATAACTCATTACTAGGAATCATGCAGTATAACACTTTTGTTGGGATCTTGTGGCTTCTTTGGGTTATTTTTTTAAGTAATCGCAAATGTGTAAACTAGGAAAGACCAAAATTAAGATTGGCCTTGCAAACTGAAATTGCAGTACCATTTCCTCTACTTACATTTTAAACATGAGTACATACCAAGTGTCCCTCTGAAGTGTCTGCAGGGACAGAAAATGAAAGGGCTGTAGAAAGAGAAAGCATACAGTTTGAAATGGGATTTAGAAGAGTTTGATTTTACTCTTAGTTTTAGTGGGATTTAACTTTACATGCTAGTAGACAACAACTAGAATGCTTCCCATTCTTATGATTTAAAGGTTTTTTTTCTATACAGTTGCTTCTCTGGCAGAAAGGGGGCTTGAAAAGATACACTGGTCACTTTGATTTCACGAGTCAGCTTTTCATACAGTAAGGGTAAGAAACTGTGCTGCAGCACAGGGTTGGTGTTGGACAACGAGTAAACTTGTGTCTGTAATGAGCAATGAGTGCAAGATTAAATTAAAAAATGCTGGGCAAAGTAGTCAGCAGCTCTGCTGCCTGCTGCTGTCAATCACAGTTTATGTGTGTTCAGTAAACAGGAATTTTAAACTACTGGTGGAGGAGGAAACCCAGGAGAAGGAAGAAAACCTGCAACTTTCTGAGCTGGTTTCCTACTTAATGGAAAGAAGGTGAAGTATTAGGATTTTTGTCCTACTGAGGCTTGCAAAGACCTTACAGAGGCATAGAAAAATTGTGCATTTATTACTTGCTGATAACATTTCTGTGCCTGCAGTGAATATAAAGAGTAAATATTGACAGTAATGTAGACTGTGAAGAGAACAGTGGTCAGAGGGCTCTTTATTTCAGTGATACCGTATGTACCATCTATGCCAGCTTTCAGAATAAACAGTGTTTGTTACTGAATGCAGTCACATAACCAATAGACAATATGGTGGCATCCCTTTTCTCCGTAACAATCTTGTTCTGTAATTACCAATATAATTTTTAAAGGACTCATTCTGGCACCTGACATGCTGTTTTTCCAAGATTCCTAGGTCAGGTTCCTCATGTTCATCAAAGGTGCTGTTGATTTTAGTTGGGCTCCAAAGCACTGTGGAAATCTTTGCAAAGTGCTCCTGGCATATGGCATAAAAGGAGTTTAGGCTAGGGTTTTTTTATGGCTTCAAAACGTAAGATGGGTTTGCAGAGACCATAACATAGGCACAAAATGAAATAAACTTTGAAAAAAAGAGAAAGAAAAATTTGTCTGCTTATTCTTTGCAAAAGGAGCTGCATGACATGAAGAGTAAAGTAAAAATCTAATGGAAATGTTCCTTTTGAAAATATAAAACTATTATTTTGGACATTTTAGTCAATTATGGGTCAAATAATTTGATAGATTTGGAAAATTAGAGTTTTGCCTGAGTCAAACCAAGTTTTAAAACAGATTTGTGTTTTTGACAGGAAAATTACATCTGTTTGTAATATTGAAATGATCCTTGGCTGAGTGAAGAAAAAAGTGCTCCAACCTGGATTGAAGCTGAGGATGCAGATCTGATCTTACATATATCTCTGTTGGATCTGAGTCAGCTTTATGTGAAGGCAGCCCTGACCTTGAGGGCCCAAACAACAGGCTGATTTGATGAAAGTAATGCGTCCCTTTAACTTCCCGCAGAAAGAGTTGCTGTGGAAAGTCTTGGCAGAGCTTCTCAAGTGGGTTGCAGTGTGCTGGGAGTGAAATGCATAGCTTTGTTAGGTTCATGTAGCAGAGGCTGTGCATGACAGAGAGGCAATGTGTTGGTGCAGTCTGATTCCTCGCTTGACCTTGCCAAAAGTGATGCTTGTGCTGTTCAGCACAACATTATCATAGAGTACTTTGGGTTGGAGGGGATCTTCATAGGTCATTAGTCCAAGTCCTCTACAGTGAGCAGGAACATCTTCAATTAGATCAGGTTGCCCAGAATCACATCCAGCCTGGTCTACATTCATGAGATGAATGGTGGTGACTTTGGCGGAAAGGTTGTACTTTGAGTTTGGGAGATTGACGAAGGGGTCACTAGCTGGCAAGGAAAAAGCATAAACAGAGATGTTCTGAGCACTGGGTGGGGATCTCTGGGGAGCACAATGGGGAAGGCTGTATAGGTACTGGTAACCTCTGACCACAGTCAGGGGAGTCAGCAGTGGAGAGAGGTATTGCCATACACAAAACCCCTGTTTGTGCTGTGGCTGTGTGGGGTGCATGCCAGAGCACAGAGAGTTTGGTGTGTGACTTGTAGAGTCTGTGGCAAGAATGAATAAATTAGTGCTTGTCCAGACTCACATTTTTTTGTTGACAGTACATAACACCACAGCTGCTTTGTCAGCATCAGTGCTGATTCATGGAAAAGCAGCTAATGCCTGCATCTTCCATAGCTCCAGCCATGTGAGCAGGTTAACAGGGGCTGGTGGCAGCATCAGATGTGCTTTGTTGCTGGTTGTTTCTCTATGACTCCTGCTTAACCCTGATGGTTTACGGAGCCACTCATGGGCAGTCTCCCTGAGTGTTTGGTTTTTGTGTCTGCAGCTGCAGTGTGCTGGAAGAGACAGGGAGTCCCTCAGGGTCATAGCAGAGTTTGATCTGCGGTGCGTGGAAAAGATCTGTTGTGTCTGTGCTTCTGAGAGGCCAGGAAGGAGCAGATGGTTTTTGGATGGGACCAAAGTACCTGAGGGGAACCTGTTGGGCGAGTGTCAGCACCAGCTGCAGCCACTTCCCTTGCTTGCCAGTGCTGGGAAGGTAGTCCATGGGGTAGCCTATACTTCCTTTCTTTTCTCACTGTATTTCCTGTTCTTGCCTGGTAGTTTTGCTCATAACACTACCTTACCCAACCTTTTTTGAATCAGCAGTCCCAGTTATAGTTAGATCTTTCTTATATCCTGTATCCTGGCTGGCTCTGCAGAGCTGAGAGTCCAGGGTTTGATGTGCAGAGACTGGTGAGGCTGCACCTCAAATACTGTGTTCGGTTCTGCACCCCTCACTACCAGAGAGACACTGAGGTGCTGGAGCGGGTCAGGAGAAGGGCAGTGAAGCTGTTGAAGGATCTGGAGCACAAATCTGATGAGGAGCAGCTGAAGGAAGTGGGGCTGTTTAGTCTGGAGAACAGAGGGCTCAGAGGAGACCTTATCACTCTCTACAACTGCCTGAAAGCAGGTTGAAGTGAGGTGGGGTTGGTCCCTTCTCCCAAGTAACAAGCAATAGGACAAGAGGTAACAGCCTCAAGCTGCACCAGGGGAGGTTTAGATTGGATATCAGGAAGAATTTCTTCACAGATGGGGTGTTCAGGCGTTGGAACAGGCTGCCCAGGAAAGTGGTGGAATTGCCATCCCTGGAAGTGTTCAAAAACCATGTAGATAAGACCCTTAGTGACATGATTTAGTGGCAGACTTGGCAGTCCTGAGTAACAGTTGGACTTGATGATCTTAAAGATCTTTTCCAACCTACTAGATTCTATGATTCTATGAAAATGTCAGCTAGTAGGACCCATGCCGAAGTATATGCAGAACAGGTTAAATGAGACAGTTGTTGCTAAAAGCATGGGACCAGCTGCAGGATGGGTCTGAAACATGGTGAAGACAACAGGCCTGAGCACTGCTGAAGGTGAGGCATCCTGGTTATTGTGTCAGATCACTCTGTTGGTTAAATGCCTATGCCTGTCTGCATCCCCAGAAGAGAACTACTATGTTAGGAAAGGTCCTAGAGAGTGAATTTCCTATCTGGTCTTGATCCTGGATCTGTCTTGAGGTCCTGTAGGAACTGAAGAATCCCTAGGTTCCTGTAGTCCAGCTTTTCTCAAAAGTTTCCTCCTAATTGCTGTGCGCTCCTTGGCTATTGGTATTCCCTCTTAGTGGGGAAGAAATGGATCCAAATCCAAAACTGGGAAGGGCCCATAATCTGCAGTGCATGTGGGAATTATGTCTGTATTCCTCACCAGGAAAGGATCCAGCTCCTGAAGCTTGCATCAGGGCGCTGCCAAAACTAGAGCTGTCACAGGCATTCATGGTCCTCTGGTATATGTGCTGTTCAGAGCCTGCCCTCTGCATTGCTCCAGGTCCACTTAGTGCTGATACTGAGATGTTCAGTCATCAGTGATGCAGCAAAGCTCCTCACAGTCTGATTGCCAGGAGAGATTGCTTTGCCCTCCTGCCTGCTCACTCCCATGAGCATCTCACTGCACAGAGCTGCATCCAGGGAATGCTGCTTATGGCAAGTCTGGCTCTCTGCTCAGCCTTGGTTCTGGCTTAGTGGCAATGCCAAGATTACTAGATACAATAACTGATTCAGGAAAAAGCCTAAAGGAAGGCAGAAAAGCCGCATCCAAGAGGGGGCATTCAAGGTGAAACACAGATGTAAAGTGGCAAGAAGAATGAGCATGGTTTGAGCCTCTGTTTGACAAAGAGCAACTGCAGCCAGGTGCCACGAGCTCAGGAGTCAAGGAGTGGGAAGGGAATGAGAAGGGGCCTGAACGGACCTGTGGGTGGTCTGGGAAATTCTGGTGTAGGCACCTACTGTTTGATCTGATACAAAGCTGTTTTGCCAGAATGTTTGGAACAAATTTTAACAGGCATGGTATGTATAAATTAGATCAGTACTCATCTGACTGCAAAAGCTCTAACATTCTCTTTCCAGACCTGTTGGCATCTTATTGGTACAGTCAAACCTGGGTGAGGATAATAGGAAAGAGTAGCATTTTACTACCTTGTTAAGTCACAAATTTGTTAATAAGCCAGTTAGGTACAGAGCTTAACAGTGATTCTGCAAATAGATTATTATATCTCCAGAGAAATAAAAAAGTCTTAAGAAGTCAAGTGTAGAAATATATTCTGAATAAGTAAGAAATTAAGAAGTTTAGAAGGGAAAAGGCTGAATTTATGTGGAACCCTTAGGGGATTAGAAGAGCAAGCTTGTCTGTAAAAGCTTATGTGATACATAAAAAAAGGCGCTGTAGATACAGCCTGTGGTATGCATAAGACTGTAACCACAGGAAACATGAGGAGAGATTTTTCTTTTAAATACTTGATCTTGGTGCAAAAAGCTTAAGTACTCTTAACTGTTTTGGGTTTGGATGCTGTACAGAGAAATCCTTTTGTTTGAATTGTAAACAGCCTGAGAATTAAATGTGATTTCACTGGTAACTGAACTCCAAGGCTGTGGAAGAATCTGAACCACAGCACACTGGTATTTCAGCTTAGGAAATATCCAGCACTCAGCACAGGTGAAGTGCATTGAAGCTGTACAGAGCAGCCTGGGAGAATGTTACAAAAATCAGGCAAAGCGGAAAAATCTGCTGGTCACAGTAAGGAAACTGCTGTGACAGTTATGGAACAGTGGGGAAGACACTGAACTGCAGGAATATTGAGGAAGTTTGTGGCAGGTGTTAAACACAACCCACATTTTGATCAAATAAATTACTTAGCTTAGTGTGGAGTAAAGTTTAGGAATCCAAGATAAAGAGATGATACTAAATGACCTGGTAGTCATTTCTTGTCTTAAATGCAAAATCTTCAAGTCCGTAAAGTGAATAAAAATGCTATCAAAATAGAACAGCATTTACATATGAATTGGAAATACCCGTTACAGTGAAATACCCATTCAATTTATAAAGGAATAGATCACTGTATTAGTACAAGGCTGTAAAATAACCCATTTCACAGCTTTGTGGACAGTCCTTTAAAACCCTATTATATATCGCCTGAGAGGTTTAATTGCTGATGGATTCTAACAGGCTCTTCCAGAAAGGGTTGTGGTGGTAAAATCTTCTGGGCTAGCCAGAACTTCATTTGAACACCATGCTGGTTTATAGAGGCACCTCTCAGAGCTGTCATGTTTATTCACAGATTTCCTGTCCACCCAAAACAGCATAGCATATTCTCTTGCTTCCAGCACTTCAGAAAGCTTCAGAAATTACACTGAATGATATCAGTCACTCAATAGTTCAGTGGCAGTCACAGCTGAAGGGGGGTTTTGCTCCTCAGCTTCCACCCAGTACTGCTCATTTCTGGTCCTACACTCTTCTTCCCCCAGTTATACCAGCACAGATATTCACAGACCAATCCTGCAAACTGGGACAGTGAACTGAGCTGGAGTTAAAGCAGTTTTTTGTCCCAGAGTGGTGCTGCCCACCTGAGTTCTTTTAATTTGGGTCAAGCCCAAACCTGTCTGCTTTCCCCACAGTAAGCTGTCCATGGACATGGAGATCAATTTTACACTGCTCTTTTGGATGGCAGAATTGATTTTTTTCCCAGTTGAAGTTGCTGTGTCCTGAGGAATTGCATGCTGTGATATGGACTGCACGTGAGGGTCAAGAACACTTTAAGACTCTGAAGCATTGTCTCTTAAGTCTTGTGTTGTGAAACTGCCTGGTGTGCTTCCTATTGCAGCTCCAGCATAACTTTGTGGAAGAGTGCAAATACCCTTAATAAAAGTGCCTGTGCTCTTTGAACATCTGAAGATGGTTACCTCAAAAGGGAAGTAATAAAACCCAAGTCTTTCCACAGTTAATCCATTTGAATAAAGCAGTCTTGAAGTCTAGGCTAGTTTCAGCACTCTTGGCCTCAGCCCTTAAAATTAACATCTGGCTTCAGGATACTCATGCTTTGCAGTTGATGAGGAACAACTGAGTAGCAAGTGCCTACATGTATACATATATATACATGTATGTATATAATGATATAATATTGTTATATACGTTCTTAGTCAAAAGCTGAGGACAAGTGTCTGTCCTGTATACATCAGTTAAAATTAATTTCTTAAGTAATGTACAATTCAGAGGGTCCACTAGTGCAAGATCTAAGTGTTGCATGAGGCCATATGAAGGGACAACAGTTAATACACCATCTACTACTTCTAAGGTTTATTTTTTTATTCTGTAGACTGTTCTTAACTGAGTAATAAACTTGATAGTCTTGGCTTTTATGAGAAGGTAATTATGTGTAGGAATGTTAAAATGAGCCTGGGCAAAATTGCTTTGCTTGGCTGCTGTATACGAGTCTGTGCTCACCTTGAATTTCTCTATGCCTAGAGATAATAGACAGCCAGCTGGAACTGAGATTTGATGAAAAATACACACTATATTTCCTTTGGCTCCTTTGAATATCTCATAGTTTCTATCTTTACACTGCTGGTGCTACTCTGCCAGTTGGAAAGTAGCATCAGGGTGCTTGCGAACAAAGCTTTATGTGAGAAGATCTTGATTTTAAGAAGGGATTGCCTTCCCATTCAAAAAGTGGATGAAGCAATATTGTCTTTCTTGTGTTCTGTGAAAATTAATGAAAGTATTTCTGAGATTATTTGGGGGAGCTGATGCTTCTACGGGTATGTAGAATATGACAAATATTTGAGATGGTTTTGTTGTTTTCACTTTCATGTAAGCAGCAGTGGCTTAAACGTAACTATTATATCAAACTGATCCAATCATTTATAGTTTGTGTACAGAAGTTTCTGTTTCATTGGTAATATTTTCAAATCTGCCCCCATTATACAGAACTTTTATTCTAAATATTGACAATGGATTAATTCCACTTCTCTAATGGTCTGGTATCACTCTCAAATTAGGTGTATTAGATTAGCACAGATATCAGCTCTGCTTTCCAGGTCTTCGCACATTGAGATTGGTTTGAGTCTGGAGCAAGTGCTGGCTCACCGTATAAGGCAATTTAGGCACAAGGAAGATTCAGGCAGGGTGAGGACTGCCAGTGTGAATTGTGTGGTGCAGCAAACAGAAGTCCCCATTCAGAAATTACTCTAGGGATGTCTGAGAAGGAGCAAGAGAGGAACTGGCATGATTGCTTCACTGACTAGTTTACTCTTTCTTAAGACAACTACTAAAGTAGGCTGGAGGTCTATCTCCTATGCTGGTTAATGCCAGGAGAAACAGAAAGGAAGATCTGTTTGCAGCCAGAAGCTGGTGCTTGTGTACCACATACTTTTCAAGGGGGAAATGCCAGTGTTTCATTTTTAACTTGCCAAGAGCAATAAGTCTGATGGCTACTCGCTAGCCTTTGCTCATCATAAAGATTTCTTTAGCATGTGAGATATTTCTGGGTTTACTTGCTCATTTGAACACATGAAGTCAATTCTTTTATAAAAATTGCACAGGGGTTTAGTGAATACTTTGCAGTAGCAAAGGTCTCTGTTCTGAGTCCATGTAGTTTGCAGTACTCCTTCATGTGGGATGGCCCCAGATCTTCCATAGTAGCCGGGATTTCCACTGCAAATGGACCACCATTATAGCAATTATGAACTGGAAATGC